AAATTAATATTATTAATTTATTAAAATTAAAACTATTATAAATTATAAATTAATTAAAATATATTTATAAAAATTTTATTAATTATTAATATAATAAATTATTTAATTAAAAATTATAATAATTAATTTATTTTATTAATTATTTTAATAATTTATAAATTTATATTATTATATTTTTATTTAAAACTTATTAAAGTTTATAAAAACTATTTAAATAAAGAAATAATTTTAAAATAATAAAATATTAAATTATAATTAATTAAAAATAATTTAATTATTTATTATTTAATTAATATATAAATTATTTATATCCTTTTAATTCTATTATTAAGTTAAAAATAAATAATTAAAGTTTTAAAAATAAAATATAATATATTTTTAAAAATTAATTTATTTAAGTTTATTATATAAAACTTTTATAATAACTTTATAATTTATTATATTTATAATATTATTTATTATTAAAAACACCTTTTATATTAATATATTAAACTATATTAGTTTAAGCTAATATTATTAACTTTAATATAAATTAGTTTATTAAAAGTTAAAGCTATTATAAACTATAATCTACTTAATTTAATATTAATAAGCATTATATATAAATACTAAATTTATTATATAATTTAAGTAAATATAAGTTAATTAAAATAAGTAAAAATAAAGCTATTATTTTCTTAATTAAGGTTTTAATTTTATTTAAGTAAATATCTATTTAATAAACTTAAAAACTATTAACTTTATAAGTAAAACTATTTAAAAATAGTTACTTAACTTATTATATAATTTATTAAAGTAAAAATAATTAAATAAGGTAATTATACTTTATTATTTAAGTTTATAATTTTAATAATTTATAAATAAAAAAATAATTATTAATAATTAAATTTATAATTATATAAAAGTAAATCTCCATTTTAAAAAGAAGTTATTAATATTTAAAATAGTTAATATATTTTTAAAAAGTTAAAGAATTATAAACTTAATTTAAAGAAAATTAAAATTTATAAAAATCTTAAACTTAAACTTACAAGTTTTAATTTAATATTTATATTTATAAAAATAAAAATATTTATAAAGTTTAAAAAAGGTTTAAATTAAATTAAATTAAATTATAATATAACAAAATAATTAAATTAAAATTAATTAAAAATTATAATTATAAATTTTTAACTTTATATTTAAAAGATTTAATTAATATATAATAAATAAAAGTTTAAAAATCTTAAATAGAATAAAAGTTTAATATAACTTAATTTTTATTAATTTAATTAAATTTTTAAATAAATCTTTATAATATTATAACTAATTAATTTTTATAAATATATAACCTACTTTAAATTACTTTAAGGTACTTTTAAATTAACTTATTATTTAATTTAAAATTTTAAATTATAAAGGTTTAAACTTATAATCTTAAAATTAATTATTAAAATAAATTAATAAAAATTTCTATTAACTATTAATATAATAAACTATTTATTTAAAAATTATAATAATTAATTTATTCTATTAATTATTTTAATAATTTATAAACTTATATTATTATATTAATTTAATATTAATAAATATTATATATAAATATTAAATTTACTATATAATTTAAATTATATATAAATATAAATTAATTAAAATAAATAAAATAAAACTATTATTCCTTTAATTAAAGTTTTAACTTTATTTAAATAAATATTTATTTAATAAATTTAAAAGACTATTAGCTTTATTATATTATACGTAAAGTTATTTAAAAGTAGTTATTTAATTAAATTAAAAGATAATTAAATAAAATAACTATATTTTATTATTTAAATTTATAATTTTAATAGTTTTATAAAAGAAATAATTATTAATAATTAAATTTATAATTATATAAAATAGATTTTATTTTAAAAGATTATTATTATTTAAAATAATTAATATATTTTAAAAGGATTAAAGGATTATAAATTTAATTTAAAATATATTAAGATTTATAAAATTTTAAATTTAAATTTAAGAAATATAAAGCTTTAATTTATATAAAAATAAAAGGTTAAAGAAAATTAAAAGGTTTAAATTAAATTAAAGATTAGATTAAGTTATAATATAATAAAATAATTAAATAAAGATTAATTAAAATTTTATAATTATAAGTTTTTAACTTAATATTTAACAGGGTTTTATTTAATATAAAAATAAACCTTTATTTTAAAAAGAAGTTATTATTTAAAATTATTAATATTCTTTTAAAATTATTAAAGAATTATAACCTTAATTTAAAGTAAATTAAAATCTATAAAATTTAAAATTTAAATATAAATATTTTAATTTAAATTTAATTTATTAAAAATAAAAATATTAAATACTTTTAAAAGATATTTAAATAAAGGTAAACTAAATTATAATATAATAAAATAATTAAATAAAACTTAATTAAAAATAATTATTATAAATTTTTTATATTATTTATATATATATATATATATAAACTATTTCTTTTAATATAAAGTTAAAAACTTATAATTATAATTTTTAATTATTTTTATTTAATTATTTTATTATATTATAATTTAATTTAATTTTAATTTATTTAAAATTATTTTTAAGTTTTTAATTATTTTATATTTAAAAGTTAAAGTTTTATATTTTATAAATTTAAATTTAAAATTTTATAATTTTTAATATAATTTAAATTAAGTTTATAATTTTTAATATTTTTAAAATATATTTATTATTTTAAATATTAAGTACTTTTTTAAAGTAAAGATTTATTTTTATATAATTATAAACTTAATTATTAATAGTTATTTTATTTTATAAAATTAATAAAAGTATAAATTTAAATAATAAAATATAATTACTTTATTTAATTTTAATTTAATTTATTAGTATAATAAGTTAATATAATTATTTTTAAATAGTTTTTATAAAATTAATAAATAAATATTTATTTTAATAAAGTTAGAACTTTTAAAAGAATAATAGCTTTATTTTTATTTATTTTAATTAATTTTATAGAAAGTTTAAATTATAAAGTAATTTTATATATGATATTTAATAATATGAAAATTAATTTATAATTTATAATAGTTTTAATTTTTAATAAATTACTTTTTTAAAACTAATAATAATAATTTAAGTTAATTAAATATAATTTAATATAATAATATAAAAGGTAATTCTTAATAATAAAAGTATTATAAAAGTTTTATATCTTAAATTTAATTAAAATTATCTTTAAAAATATATTATATTATATTTTAAAACTTTAAATATTTACTTTTAATTTAATAATAAAGTTAAAAATATAAATAGTTTATATATATAAAATATTTATATTTTTAATTTTATTATTTAATTAAAAATATATAATTAAACTTTTAAAAATATAAAATATAATTAAATTTTAAAAGAATAAAATAAAATAAACTTTTAAATTAATTTAATAAATTTATTATATAAAACTTTTATAATAACTTTATAATTTATTATATTTATAATATTATTTATTATTAAATAATATTTTTATATTAATATATTAAATTATATTTAAATAACTTTAATTAATATTATTAACTTTTAAAAATTAAAATTATTATTACTTTATAAATTAAATAAAAGCAAATAAATATAATATAAATATATTAAATATTTTATATATATTAAATATAAATATAAATTATTTATAATAATTAAAAATATCATTTTTAATTAAAGTTTAACTTTAATTAAATAAATATTTATTAAATAGAAATATTAAAAATAAATATTTAATTTATTATATTATATAATTAATATTTAATTAAATAAAAGAATTATACTTTATTATTTAAATTTATAATTCTAATAATTTTATTATAAATAATTAAAAGAAAATAATTAATAATTAAAATTATAATTATAAATTAAAAACTTTTAATATAAATCTTTTAAACTATATATTATAATATAATTAAATTTAAAATAAGTATAAATTTAATAAATTTATAAGTTTAAATATATAAAATATACTTTATATTTAAATTTTAAACTTTAATAAGTTATTCTTTATTTTATAAAAGAAAAAGATTAAAATATTTAAATTACTTTATAATTTTATAATAACTATTAATATTTATATCTTTCTATTTATTAAAAAAACTTATAAAATTAATTATAATAATAACTTTAATAAAAGATTAACTTTTAAATTAATTAAAAGAATAATATTAATAAAGGTTAAATTTATACTTTTATATATTTAAATTAATAAAAGTAACTTAATATTTAATTATTATATTATAATATTAATATTATAATTATATAAAATAAACCTTTATTTTTAAAAAACTTAATATTATTTATAATTAATATCATATTTTTAAAAAGGTTAAAAATTATAAATTATATTTAAAATAAAATAAAAAGTATAAGAAATTAAAAAAGATTTAAAAGATTAAAATAAAATTAAAGTAAATATAATAATATAAATTAATTTAATAAAAAATAACTATAATATAAATAAAAAAAAATTAAAATTTAAAGTTTTTTTATAAAAAGATTATTAAAATATATAAATCATTATTAAAAACTTTATATATATTTTTAAAAGAAAGAAATAAGTAGTTATATAATATAAAGGAAAAATATAATGTAGTTAAATCTGTACCTATTTATGTAGCCTATGTTTAGGCCGCCACCGGCAGCCGCTGAGATACTAGTTAACTATCTAGGTACCTAGTTAGTTTCCTTTATCCTCCGTAAATGTCTGAAGACATACATCGCACGTTTATATAGTGGCAAACAATTAAGACCGCGCGTCTAAAGCATGTATAGTGTCGATAACAGTGGTAAAATAACGACGACTATAGTTAAGTTAGTAGTCCATATATATGATTACTGCTCTGCCCCAATGTGATAGTTATTATGGGGAGCTCTTGGTTTTGTGCTGGAGGCTTTGACGACATGCAAGTTGAATGCTCGCGCGAGGTCGAGGCCTGGCTCTTACTTCTTAAATCCGATATTAGGGGAGATGGCATATTTTCTTAGGCTGATAAAACAACACTACTTGTTTATTCTCAAAAAAATGAAAAGCTGGCAAAAGAACCGACCTAAGAATCTGAAGAGAACGTCCACGGGTCCTGCTGTTCAATATTGTGTGCTTTGCGCTCCTTCTCGACTGCAAAGCTTATCAGGTGCTTCAAGCCTCTGTTTTGACAGTCAAGCGACTTCCCATGTCTCGAATAACATACATCTGCCCCCAGAAATCCGTGACTTCGTAAAACAACCTCCAGATTTCCATCTTCCGACTCTTCCTTGCTCGTGCCTCAGCAGAACTCGTCCCTCCCCCATGATTCTCCAGCCGCCTGAATGCTTCTTCGATGCAGGCACGTTCATACTGAGCCACTTCAAACAGCTTCTCCTGCTTGATGACTATGTCATCATTCGGTGAGACTTGTGTGCCCAACGTGAACTCAGGAAAATCTATTGAATTCACATTGGCCTCGTCACGGTCCCGCGCAGCGGAGCCATGGTCATTGTACATGCGACACATGGTAGCTAGATGCTGGCAGGCGGCGGCGGCGTAATATTTCTCCTGGGTCGCTTCAAAGCAGTCTTCCCCCTTCTCAATCCACGAGCTGAGCAGGCAGCTGACGAAGTTGAATGTATATGTTGCTGAGGTATGGTCGGCCGAGGTTGTGCGTACCCAGCGGAAGAAATGCTCCCTCATGATGCCGTCGGTGAATTTGTTCTGTCGCAATAGCATGTTGTCCTCATTTTGTGTAACATGTGTTTGGAGGTAGATCCGGAGCTCACAGGTCATATTTTTGCGGTCCCAACTGCTTGCCGACAAGATTGCTGGATGCATCAGTGCACGACTGACGAATTTACGGAGCGGCTGGAGAACTTCCTCGCGTTTGGAATCCTCGATATCTGGATGATGGCCATTTGCGCCCTTCTTCAAGCCTCGTCCATTAGTGGAATCATTGACGATGCCATTCGCACATGCCTCGCTCTCCCTAGAAATGGCATATATCACCTCGTCGATTAGTAGACGAAGCTCTGGAATGTGTTGGGCATAGATAACCCCCGCCACAGCTTCCATGAACTCGTCCACTTGGTAGTTGAGCATCGAGGCCATCATTCCCTCCAAGAGGAACGACGACGGGGCGAAAGCCCGGGCGCGGTTATTTGCTATCGGCCAGGCCAGTGGTATGACGTCGAAGTACTTGTCCACATCCACGCCTTTTCTGGTGAACACGTCCAGCCTAACGGCTTTGACAATTGGGCGGAAGAGCATTCCCTCTACCATTGAGGCTTGTATCTGCCACTCAGGCGTGTTCGAGAAGAGGGGGGTTCGCAGCCACAGGCTCGCAAGATTGGGTATAATAGTTGCATCTCCATAAAGCCTTCTGCCGACGTCGGAGTCTGAACGCGCAGCTGATGCCCAGAGAGCCGCGAGCCTATATGCCTCGGTCACGAGCGGAGATGTGTAGCTGACCTTTTCGATCCAGAGGTGATGTGGTATTCCGCGGTTGGTCATGCTGCCGGCGTCCTGGATGGAAGTAGTGGCATTGTCGATAGCTGAGTCCAACCGTGTCCGCAGATCTCGGAACAAGTACAGCTCTCTTGCTTTCACGAGTATAAGCGTCGCATAAGAGGTCTCTTCGACAGAGCTGTTCCACATGCCGTTGGTCTTCTGTTCGAGTAGCGTCCTATAACATGCCTGGTACAGACACACGGCAACCTTCGACTTCAGTATGTGATCGTGAAAACCATAGATTGCCCCCTGTTCAACCAGACCCACGAGCTTCACGATTGCCTCCACAAATAAGAGTGTGGGGTACAGATAGGATACGTTCTGAGGAAAGAATGTCAGTGAGAAAAATAACCACAGATACCAAATACAACCCACCCATTTGTCTTGAATCTTCGACATCGAATTCCACCAGATGTCACAAAGGAATGCAGATATCTTCGTTATTGGCTCCATATATTCTTGTGGCACCTCTTGGTGAAGCAAAGCCAACAGTGCGTTGCAATTGGCGCTGAAGCTGGGGTCCCTCTCCGTAGGGTATGTCCTGAAATGGGTTTTTCCTTCGAAGGCATCGATCATGCTTCTGGGTTTGGCATTCAAACCCATAGACCTCAGGCAAATGATAGTCTTTGCTGTGTCGTCCAAGTCGGGCATGAAACAAGAGACTGAAATCAAATTAACCTTGGAAATTGAGCCTCTTCAACACTGAACATTTGACTTACCAAATCCAACAGTGCCCCCCTGTTGATTGAAGGTCTGTGAGAGAATTGATGCCATTTTTCTCAAGCCAGGACCATCGAGATAAGCAGGTGAAATTCCAGAGGTGAAAAGTGTAGACAGGGCCTGAATACGGGATTAGGTCAAGTTTGTATCAAGGGCAGAACTGGGTAGTCACCCAGCTATACTCGAAGATGGTGGACGGATAAGCACTAGGAACACCACCATTGCCTTTCCCAGCCGCATGTTCAACGACATGTCGAAGGTACTCCTCCGCCCCATCATCCCAAGCGGTTGCATTCATGAGGTACGCTGCTGTAGATGAAGGGGACCCCATCATTGATCCAAATGTCTTGTGGTGGGAGACCTTGTCAAAATCTATTTTCCCAACAAAGGCTTCCAGTGAGTGGATGGCGGTAGATGGTTTATGGCCGTAGAGAAGATCAGGATGGAACTTGGAAAGCTTTTCCTGGCGTATTTTTATTAATTCGCCCATTCCCTCGAAAGAAAATTGAATGGACTCCTGATCAAGAAGTTCGAGCAGGGCTGGAACAATGACTTCGAACCCCACGTGAATGGTGGACGCGACTGTCCAACCGCGTAACTGTGAGCGCAAAGAAACAATGCCTCGGCTGATCCGGGCATCGAGGTCTTTGGTGGTCGTGTGTTCGAAGCTCGAAAGCTCGTGATTATGTCGTACACAAGACAGAAGGGCAGCAGCAGTATTCAAGATACCGTCAATTGCTTCATCCGTTACCCCCCAGCTCCCGTCCTCAGCTTGCTGACTGAGCAGGTAGTCGAAACATTGTGGGAAGAGCCATCGACGTTTTCCACTAATTGATTTCGCCACCAGAGAGACCCATGCGGTATCATATATGGAACAACTCATGGATCCAAACCCGAGCTTATCGTCGTAGTCACCCACGGCGTTGTTCAGTGTCGACCTTATCATGACGTCCAGCGACACCGTGCTTTTCTGCTCGGCTTCCGCTTCAGCGTCAATGGCATGGTGAACTGTCGATGAGACATCCATCATGGTGAAAGAACTTGGTGGTGTGAAGAGAATTTATCGAAAGAATCGGTGTGGGCAGAAGAAAGACATAACATAGATGGACACCAAACAGCTGATCCAGTATCTTATTAGACTTTTGCAAGAACCCTTCCAGGGACAGACCTCAGGCACTACGGCAAACGAGGGCACACTATGTTTGTGAAAACAGATATGAAATTAATAAAGCCATGGTTGTCCAACGAAGAGTACGGAGAAGGCAGCGAAGCTGCAATGCCGCGTTGTTCACGGTACCTACTCAGTACTGTAGGTACTACTCGTGGGCCTCGGCTTCCACTTACCCACTGCTGGGGCAGGGAAGGCCTGACCCACGGGCAGTGCAGTGGGGGGTCCACGGGCGATGACCGGAGAGTAACCAGCCCACGGCCCTACATTTCCTCAAGAAGTTTACTACTCAAACAGTTATTATATGAATAGGCTAGTGATGGGAATTAAATATAAATATAAGAAAGTAAATATTTTTATAAAATTAAAATAATAGAATTAATATAATTAAAAAATAAAATAAAAATAAAAAAAATATTACTTATTTATTTTTTATTTTACTATTAATATTATTACTTTTATATAACTTATAAGATATTTATATTATTATTAATAATTAATATTAATAATAGGACTAATGGAGATTATTTTACAGCTTAATACTTTTCATAGTTCCTATTTAAGTAAGGCCGCTCAAGTTTCAGCGTCGGCGTCTGGGACAAGGTGGAGGGGCTTTAGGTCGAATCAAGCGCAAGTGGAGCGAGAGCTGTTGGCCCGGGGTAATCGAGTTGACCATTACCCGGGGGTCA